CCCGGTTTACGGTAGCGGGGGGATTTGAGGAGGACCGGAGTTCAAAAAACATTGAAAACATGAGAACATTGGATTTTTTTTTAGTTTATGAAGGCATCGTCAGTTTTAAAAATGCTGTAAATTGTGTTTGTTCCTTCACAGCCTCTACTCCCAGCCTTCCGAGAAAAACTACGGCTATATTTGTGCATCTTGTTTTGTAAATACTTGCACAATATGAGAATACTGCCCCGAAACTACACACTGGACATCTATGGACATTTGTTTGTTCGCAGAATCAGGGACAACTCAGATGTTCATAACACGCTCAGAACAATATGAATGCTTACCATTTTGTTTGTAGTTCGATGCTAAAGTTCCTTTGGACAAATTCTAGGAACAATAATGCGGCCAAAGTGGAAACGTTTATAAGCGTTACCAAATGTGCACACAATTATCCATGGATTTTAAACAATACAATTTATAGCTGTTAAAAAATTTGTCCATTGGAAGGACACATCATTTTGACTCCAGACCTTGAGGACTAAATAAGTCAATGCCTTATTTCCATTTTTGTTTCTTTTTCTACAGACTTTACGGAGTATGTGAATTTCGTTACGGACATATTTGTCCTTAAGTTGTGAACAATTCAGCGCCGAGTCTATGTACAATAATGCTTCCAAAAATCTGTAGACAAATTTGTCTATGGGTTGTGATTGAATTTGTCGCCATTTGGTGACGTATAAAATCGTATCCACAAAGGACACAAAATTGTTCGGTAACTGGTGACAAAAATGTCCATAGCTATTGGGTGTGAATGTTTTAAATTGTACACAGCTTCAGTATGCACAAATGGTAATAATTATAGACATTAAAGGAACAAATTCAAAATACTGGTTAAAATTGAGGCATGTGCATTTAATACAACAAAGGGATAATAGCATGGCGGTAAGTAGCCAACTTCATGTGATTAAAATCATTTCGTCAATACAAATTGTTCATTTAGCGAGGCTAACGTCCAAGAAAGTCACATTTCTGTCAAGATCATAACAAGAACACACGTAAGAACACGCGGAGTACGCAGGCACTAGAGGCCAGCGTGATAATCGCTGATGGCGGTGGCGAACTGGTTGCAGGCGCTCGGGTTGAGGCGCGCGGCGGCCTTGTAGTGCCTGCGGGCCTTCTTCTTGTCGCCGTAGTGGCTCCACAGAGACCCCAGCTTCATGTGGATGAAGGCACGCTCCCCGGCGGCGACCAGGGCGCGCTGGTACAGCTCAAGCGCCTCGCGCGCCGTCTGAGGCCCGGGGTCTCGCATCATGTACAGCGTGTTCGCGGCCTGCGGAACAAAGCCGGCTTTACTCGCTAATTGGGAATTCGTTCAGCCCACTAAATTTTAGTTGATTTAAGGACAGCTGGAATTTCACGCTACCTTACGAAGTATCTAAAGCATACGTAGTAAAAACTAAATTACTTTGACATACAAAGAAATTGTTCGCAAATAACGAAAAGCTGACGCTCGAAATACTTTGTTATGAAAGGCTTCTTTCGGTTCTAAGACCTAACATAGTTTCTAAGATTCTCTGAGTGTATTGCTGTGGGAGCAAACAATTTGCTCTGATGGTTAACTGAATCGTAGGGATTATCGTCCCAACGCTTTGGCTCGCTGTCAGCGAACCGTTTGTTCCCACATCAAAAAAATCAGTTGCCTAAAAATCAACTAAAAATTAGTTGAAAAACGAGTTTTTTGCTTTTGTGTGAAATTCTGTGAACAAGAGGGCAATACATCTGGAGCAATACTGGGCCCCACCCGCACCCGTACGGACGGCGGCTAGAAAGACCGAGAGGTTTTTAAATGGTTCATTTCTACACACTAAATATTTTTGTACACAATAAGACATCACTATTTTTTGTGCACACGAACTTTTCGTACAAATTTGTACGCGATTTTGCACCAAAATGGGCAAATAGGTTCAGTTATTTTTACAAAATTTGTACGAAAAGTTAGTGTGCACAATAAAAAACTGTGATGTCCCGTACAAAGACGCACAGAACATTTAGTGTGCATTTCAGCATGAGAGTCTCTCATGATTTCAGACAGGCGATTGAATAGGGGCATTTCGGTTCGCCTTGCACGACGCGGGCAAAGGAAACGAAACACAGTCTCCACGAACGGAACGCACCCTCCCCGGCCGGCGCGTCCGAGGCACGGCGCGCATCTGCACGACGAACGAGGCGTGCAGGCGGCGCGCGGCGCTGGGGCAGAGCACATCCCAGCGGGGCGACAGCGCCACGAGCACGCGCGGCCGGCGCGGCTCCACCGCAAGGGGCTGCAGGACGTCCGGGAGGAACTCCGGCTCCAAGCAAGGCGCATCAGCCGCCAAGGCCGCCAAGGGGAGGAAAGCGTTGGAGGCGCCGCCGAGCCCGGCTAGCCCGGCCGGCAGCAGCAGGGCAAGGAGCATCCTGGGAACAAGAAATGGGCCTGCTCTGTCAAAAGCTTGCGAAGAAAAGTACAAAGTACACATGGGTCTCAACCCATCTTCAATGGTTCTCGACCCAGCTCCAATGGGTCAGGACCCATTCACAATGGGCGTGAACCGGTCCAAACCCACGCCGAATAGGTTAAGTCCGCTGTGGGATTTTTGAAAAGTTTCGGGGAATAAATTACAGTGACAAGCAGATACAGTGGCTGCCTAAAGTCAGCCCGAACCACGATTTCTACACATTTGTTACCGTTTCGACAAACTTTGCTTCAATACTGCGCCTAAACTAAGGCGGCTAATCGCACTCCGTAGCAAAGGTGTTCTAAAGGAAGGCCCAAAAAGTACCCACCCTTTGAGGGAGAACGATTAGCCGCCTTAGATTAGATGCAGTGGCTGCCTAAAGTCAGGCCACACCACGATTTCCACACATTTGTTACAGTTACGACAAACTTTGCTGCTATACCGCTCCCAAACTAAGGCGGCTAATCGCACTCCGTAACAAAGGTGTTCTAAAGGAAGGCCCAAAGAGTACCCACCCGTTAGGGGAGAATGATTAGCCGCCTTGGATTAGACAGAATGGCTGCCTAAAGTCAGCCCATACCATGATTTCTGCACATTCACCGTTTTGATCTTATTTGCGGACTGCTGATTTAAAGTTCACAATATTTGAAAATTACCGAAAAATACAAATTTTTCCGGGGTCTGCGTAAAATACCGTATTTTACTGTAATTTATCGTACTGTTTACCGGTAATTTTACCGGCTCTTACATCCCTAATCAGGTTTGACCAGAACTCCTTCTTTATTGGTATTTCATATCTTACTTTTAAATCAGTAATGAAAGTGGGAACACCTTGCAATGCGATTAAGATTCGGAATTTTTATGTTTATGAAGGCATCGTCAGTTTTACCAATTCTGTAAATTGTGTTTGTCTTCACAGCCCCTACTCCCCGCCCTTCAGGTGATGAATTGGGATCCGAACTTATAGTCAAGAAGTCCAGGCAAGTCAGTCGAGCGGCACATCTGGTTGAGGTTCCGGACTCACGCGGCCCCCAACACGGCACCTCCGGAGGATGATGGCGCACCTTATCGACACCTTGTCTCTCACTGATCACTGGGACATAAGTGTTACCTGACAAGGAAGTTGTGATAAAGCACAAGAGATGTCTTCTGATGGATTCACCGTTCAGGCACCAAACAACAACCTGCTGTATTGTAACAACGCTTTTGTAGCTGACTTGAAATATAATAGCGGCCAGCCACGTTCGTGTGGTCGCAAGCTACCGTGCTTGTTCCACGATACAAGTCAGGAGCAGCTGAACTGCACATTTGATGGGACTCCGCCGACTTGTCCCACTCACCAAGGACACCTGCATTGATTATTGATTATTTTTATTATTCTCGCGGAGGGGGTTTCTAATATCCCTGATGGAGGGCCACGGCAAGCTTGTGCTAGCGTAGGCTGCACAAAGCAAAGCCGGTCTTCCCAGCCGCTGTCCTCGCAACCGTGATAGTGTATCGATTTTATTAGGAAAGGTGGCGTACCAAAGGCCCGTCCCGTACATTTTACTCTTAATGACACTCTTAATGAGCGGCTAAAAATGTTACCAATGGAATAAGAACCACTTAAAACGAATTTCTGGCCCATGGGCGGAAACCCCGGTGAGTCAAAGTAGCCCCGGTTTACGGTAGCGGGGGGATTTGAGGAGGACCGGAGTTCAAAAAACATTGAAAACATGAGAACATTGGATTTTTTTTTAGTTTATGAAGGCATCGTCAGTTTTAAAAATGCTGTAAATTGTGTTTGTTCCTTCACAGCCTCTACTCCCAGCCTTCCGAGAAAAACTACGGCTATATTTGTGCATCTTGTTTTGTAAATACTTGCACAATATGAGAATACTGCCCCGAAACTACACACTGGACATCTATGGACATTTGTTTGTTCGCAGAATCAGGGACAACTCAGATGTTCATAACACGCTCAGAACAATATGAATGCTTACCATTTTGTTTGTAGTTCGATGCTAAAGTTCCTTTGGACAAATTCTAGGAACAATAATGCGGCCAAAGTGGAAACGTTTATAAGCGTTACCAAATGTGCACACAATTATCCATGGATTTTAAACAATACAATTTATAGCTGTTAAAAAATTTGTCCATTGGAAGGACACATCATTTTGACTCCAGACCTTGAGGACTAAATAAGTCAATGCCTTATTTCCATTTTTGTTTCTTTTTCTACAGACTTTACGGAGTATGTGAATTTCGTTACGGACATATTTGTCCTTAAGTTGTGAACAATTCAGCGCCGAGTCTATGTACAATAATGCTTCCAAAAATCTGTAGACAAATTTGTCTATGGGTTGTGATTGAATTTGTCGCCATTTGGTGACGTATAAAATCGTATCCACAAAGGACACAAAATTGTTCGGTAACTGGTGACAAAAATGTCCATAGCTATTGGGTGTGAATGTTTTAAATTGTACACAGCTTCAGTATGCACAAATGGTAATAATTATAGACATTAAAGGAACAAATTCAAAATACTGGTTAAAATTGAGGCATGTGCATTTAATACAACAAAGGGATAATAGCATGGCGGTAAGTAGCCAACTTCATGTGATTAAAATCATTTCGTCAATACAAATTGTTCATTTAGCGAGGCTAACGTCCAAGAAAGTCACATTTCTGTCAAGATCATAACAAGAACACACGTAAGAACACGCGGAGTACGCAGGCACTAGAGGCCAGCGTGATAATCGCTGATGGCGGTGGCGAACTGGTTGCAGGCGCTCGGGTTGAGGCGCGCGGCGGCCTTGTAGTGCCTGCGGGCCTTCTTCTTGTCGCCGTAGTGGCTCCACAGAGACCCCAGCTTCATGTGGATGAAGGCACGCTCCCCGGCGGCGACCAGGGCGCGCTGGTACAGCTCAAGCGCCTCGCGCGCCGTCTGAGGCCCGGGGTCTCGCATCATGTACAGCGTGTTCGCGGCCTGCGGAACAAAGCCGGCTTTACTCGCTAATTGGGAATTCGTTCAGCCCACTAAATTTTAGTTGATTTAAGGACAGCTGGAATTTCACGCTACCTTACGAAGTATCTAAAGCATACGTAGTAAAAACTAAATTACTTTGACATACAAAGAAATTGTTCGCAAATAACGAAAAGCTGACGCTCGAAATACTTTGTTATGAAAGGCTTCTTTCGGTTCTAAGACCTAACATAGTTTCTAAGATTCTCTGAGTGTATTGCTGTGGGAGCAAACAATTTGCTCTGATGGTTAACTGAATCGTAGGGATTATCGTCCCAACGCTTTGGCTCGCTGTCAGCGAACCGTTTGTTCCCACATCAAAAAAATCAGTTGCCTAAAAATCAACTAAAAATTAGTTGAAAAACGAGTTTTTTGCTTTTGTGTCCAAGCTTTTAGGGAATGTCACTACATTCTTTCTTAATCGAAAGAATATTTGAGGGTTTGCGAACTACCAGTTTGCAATACTTTTGCGCTTAACTCTTCGCAAGCTGCAAACCAAATAGTTTGAGACGCGAACACATTCTTTGCAAGGTTCTGAGAGTGTAGCCGCCAAGAAGCGCGGAATCCCTGCGACCGTTGCCGACCTCTGGCCTAATGCCTCAGAAAACCTCACAAACTACGTTTTTTTTGGGCTTACAATCAAAAGTAGCTTGATAGGCAAAGTAGTATTTTGAGTTGAGCATACATAAACTGACAAAAAAGTACCCCGTTACTATTTCTAGGTACTACCAAGTCGTGTGCGCCTTCTGCTCAACCTAATTCGGAAGATTTTAAGCGGACACCAGTGTTGTCCGAGAACCTACATTGGTGAGGGCGCGAGGGTGGTTCGGGAAAAGCCGCAGCGCCTCTGCCACGAGGGCCTCCGCCTCCGCGCGCTGGCTGGGGCCGCACGCCGCCACGCACCGCGCCAGGCGCAGCACCGTGTCGGGGTTCTTCCGGTGTTGGTACGCCGCTCGGAGGAGGCTGATCTGCACAGAAGAGGAACTGTCAGTCAAGACAGGATTTCTTCCACTCCTTACTAAGATGCGACGCCTATCGGAGTCGGGTGGCGAGCCATTTCACTGAAAATGCACACACACTGCGCTAGAAAAAAAACTACTGTATAACAATTCTACAACAGTTCCTGCCAATAATTTCTTCATTATAGATGAATTGTTCTTACAAGGTAATTTCAGCAAAACCCGACCCAAACCTTAACTTTTCACATTGAATTGCAAAATTGCGTAACTGAGCACGAAATTAAGCTTTGATGCGCGTAAATTCGTGCGCGTTTCACGCGCATGCTCAATTTCGAGCCAAAGCTATGTACAAAAAAAACTACGCAATCATTAAGAGTGTTCGAATTTTTTTTATTGCTCTCACGGATGCGATAATTTGAAGGAGCTTCATTAGCCTTTGTACACTGCCAACCGAAGTGTGGGACAGTCTCGCGCCATTTGGCCGCAATGTCTCACGCTGTGGGGCAACTAGAAGGAGACTGTCGCACCCTTGGAGTGGCAGTGTGTCACATGACCGGCTCACCTCTTCGGCTGACGGCGTCCCTTTGTAGTTCCGAGCGTCCTGCAGCACCCACCCCAGCAGATGGCGCCACTCCCCCTCGCCGGGACTCAGGCGGATGGCCTCGCGGAACCACTTGCGGTCTTCTGCAGACAGAGGGCCGTCGACTGAGGAGTGTCCCTGAGCTCCCCTAAATTACAGTGTGGGCGACCATGCACACTAGACTCTTGCCGACTTCTTACGTTCACAATTATGCACTTTCGGCACACAATTAAGCATGCACAGACAAGACCTATCCGTAGGACCTTTCTGCTCTGAGGGCCTTCGGAGAATACTGTGAGGTCATTCGGAGAATACTCGGTCCTGCGGATGATATTGGCAAGGGAGCTACGGAGAATTATCACAAGTGCCCTGCGAATCCAAGTGTTGGACAGGCATGGACTAGAGGACGTGCGACAAATTGTCCCTCGCTTGTACGCGTGGGACAAACCGTGCTCCACGTTTGTAACCGTGGGATAAATCCGTGTCCCACACTTCTAAGCGTAGGACAAATCCGTGTCCCACGTTACCTAGTGCATGCCTGTGCCACTCTTGGATTAGAAGTGTTGTTTCCAGAATTTTCCGTACCTCTCTGCCACAGTGCAGCGAGGCGACAGACTTACCCGCGCCGCCGCCGGAGGCGAGGCGGCCCCTCACGGCGCACACTGCTGCTCGCTGGTCGTCTCCCAGTTGGCTGAGAGGCTTCACGTCGCCGATGAACTCGCGCAGGTACGCCACTTGCTTGTTGTCTGTGAGCGTGGTGATCGACATCGCGGCCCACATCGAGTCCAGCACCAGTCGCAAGGCCGGCCTGCGGGCGTCACAAGTTGCAAATTGATTAGTTGTGACAACCAGCATGTACTGACATGTTAGGTTAGGTCCCAACGAAGAAATAAGTTACTGCAATTAAAATTTTTCGTCTCCAATGAGGGTTGCCGACCTATCAGGATCCGCAGGTGCTTTCTCAATTTTTAACACACGATTGAATGTACATATTAAAGGGGCATTGAAGGGGTATGCATGTATTAAAGGGACAAACAATTTACGTTTACCAACCTAAACTACGGTTCATCTGTGATAGAAAATTTTGCCTTGTGATGAAGACTTTTCTAGCAATGACACACACCTGTGATCTGCTATGATGCCGCAGTGCCGATGGAACACGGGATCCGGCAAGAGGCGCATGAAGCACTCCACCAGGAGGGTGCGCGCTTGGTCGAGACGCGAGTTCTGCCAGAAGCTCCACGCCAGCCGGTAGCGCTCCACGACCTCGGCCCAGGGCGTGGGGGCGAGGCAGAGTTTGTCCAGCATGTCCTCGCACGCCTCCAGAGGCGCGTAGCCAGTGCCCCAAGTCACCGGGCACTCCAGGGACTTGAGGTCGAACTGGTGCACGTGCAGCACCCCCGGCACCGACATCGCCCCGGTACGACGGTCGCCCCCGTCCGGGCAGCGACGGCGGGAAGGTCAACGCGGCCAACCCTGAAACGGGTCAAAGTACACTCTCAAAATTCTGCTTTTCGGAAGGCTTAGTACTATGACAGAACAGCGAAGGTAGTCAGTCACCTATGATGGAAGGTTCTGAGTAAACTACACCAGTATCTTCGTATCAAGTAACAAATTCTCTGAATTATGATAAATTGGTGTCCTGTCGTAGAGTACACTCGTGTAAATCTTGTCAGAATGTCTCAAACTCATTCACCAGATTTGCGCACCTCTGAAAGTTGTAAACTTGTTTTAATATTTTGCAGAACTCAGGCCATCAATATCAGAAAAATTTCAGCTTCCAGAAATGCGCGAATTTTTATCAGGATTTCAAACAGGTTCCTGACATGCTGACAAAATTTTCACGAGTGTACTGAGAATTGGCTTCGAGTTACACGGCATTTCTCAGTAGGAAATTGGGAATGTAATATGTTGTAAAGTGACCTGCGCATGCATTGTATGCATGCATCAAAAGTCGCTTCTACGCTCACGTGTGCATGAGTAATAAATGCATTAGGTTCATAGACACACAGCCAACTCCCTGCTGAGAAACGCCATGCAGTAATAATACTAAGCTGGTTCTCAGAACTGATTGGTTCAAATCTATTGGTGCAGTACTGAAGGATTTGCTCGTAAAATGAATAATCTGGTTATAAGTTACTAAGAACCCTTCACCATGGGTTACTGCCTTCACCGAGCTGTCGTAACACTAAGTTTTTTACTCGTATTACGAAGAAAAATCTCAGTAGTAGGAGAGCAAAGCAACATTCATCAAGGTACAAGAAGAGCGGAAGGTCTGAACTTTTATTCTCGTTCCAAAAAAAGGGAACATACGAGTTTTTGAAGCTCCTTTTATTAATGGTTCAAAATTTAGGAGTAATAACTTTAACGCAATGTTACGAATGTTACGCAATGTTACGAATCTTACATCAGTCAAAGAGCCTTGGTTCGAACTCACCTCAACCATAGAGATACCGTCGGTGTCGAGTTTCAGTCGGGCTGCTCCTACGAGTCCCTTGCGACCGTTGGAAGCTACTCCTGAGGGCAATCGAACTGCAACAGAATCCAAATGCAGCTAGAGTTATCTTTTGATTTCTTTAATTTGACACTGAATGATGAAAATTCCTCGACTTGACATTGAAATGATATCGGCGTTGGAGGTTTGATAAGGGTTAACAGGTGTTCCGAATTCTCCAAACTGAAATGACCAAGTCTTAAAAAATGGTATGACAAGAAAACTTTTAAATATTGAACTGAACTTACCCTGCGTAAGAGAGGTTGATGCAGTTCGTTACAACCAATTTTTTTTTAGGACCACCGTAAGGAACACTGTTATAGATTCATGCGCGACCACTGATGATATGTCACTTTGAAAAATTCCTTACTTCAGAGCGAAAAATGTACACACTACCTGGTAAGGGTGGTAAGGGTGTTACGTAGCACGTCACTTCATTGGTAGCCTAAGGCAGGGAGCAGGACTAAAACTGACGCAGTTGTTCATTTACTGTGGAGCCACAAGTGGACGTGTGCCTTGCAGTTGGACGAAATGAAGCGTGCGCGCGAAACGCACGAGTTCTTGCGCAACAACAAGCACTTGCGTGCATGGTTACGCAAAAATGCGAGCATCATGAAACGCGTGCACAATTTTGCGCAACTTTGGCTGATACGGGTACGGGAAAGTTAAGCTGATGGCAAATCGTTACTTCACACTAACTTCCCTTTCATTTTCAATGCATGAGCTGTGCACTAAATTGTACACGCGCTTCAAAATGCACAAAATACTGCGTACCAAAGAAAATATGCGTCGTTACGCATGAATTCGTGCGTTTCAAGGGCCTGTTCACGCGCAAGCTTATGCACTTGAGAACTATCTAGTAATTTAATGTGCACTTGTTTCGTACTTTTTTCGTGAAGTGCACGTCCACCCAACCAACTACAGCAATACTATCAACATCATCAGTTCTTTTACGGCCAGAGAAATTACAACCGGAAATGAAGAAGTTGCCTTACCTCAAAGGTGATTTTCCAAGATGAGTCAGAGCGGTAAGGGTGTTGCGTAACACGTCACTTCATTAGTAGCCAAAGCAGCAGAACCAAAACTGACGCAGTTATTCATTTAATGTGGAATCATCACGGTAAAAACGGCTCCTGGCTTTCTCATGAACTCCTGGATATAGCCTAAGTCTCTACCACAGGATTCCTGGGAAAACCAGGTGCCGTTTTTACCGTGAAAATAATACCGCAAAACTTAAAACACCTCGTCCTACGTCTACTTTTGCGAGAACTTTCCCCTAAGCAACTGAACGACCAGACTGTTTGTTTCCTGTCCTGTTTGCCCTTCGTGCCCTGTGGTCATTGGCTATGCTCCTTGTGCCGCGGCGCGCTGGACACCCCCTCCCCTTCCCCCCTATCCCCTCTTTGTCCCCCTTCCCTCTCCGTTGCAGATACTAGTGGGTGCGAGAGACGCGATCGCAACGTACTAGGGAGGGCTAGCCGCGCCACTGCTGCGGCGATGCGGTCAAAAACTCACCGGGCTTCCAGCGCAACTCCATGATCCTCCTCGTGCTGCTGCTTCCGCTGTCCGCGGGGCAGTGCCCGACACCTGGCGCGCCCACGGCCCAAGGCAAGGATCCGAGGGTAATCGTATCTTTCAGACAAGATGCTCATGAGACGCAGGCAAATTCTCTGTAGCTCTTCAGTTTAACATTCCTTTTTGGTGTGCGAGGCAAGAAAAAGTTAGATAAATATCGCAATCCTTTCAAAACACCTGCAAAGAGCTACTCGAAAAAAAATATCTATTTAAGGAACATTCATCAACAGATGATACTCGTCTCCTGTGTGCTAGTTGTGGCAGTATGCTCCTATCTCTGTGATTGCATATAAAATTGTAAATTCCGCCCTGGCAGCCAGCCCCTGTTATTGTTGTTAGGATGCGCGCTTGGTTTCTGGACTCGAGAGTAAAATCTAGCTAACACCTTTGTCTCGTAGCTTTAGGTATGTTTTAATGTAAATTTAAACACATAAATGTATCATTCAATTTTTCTCTTATAAGTTCCGGAGCTATTTTTGACAGTGTTGGAAAGGCTCTCGTCATTGAGCTAGCCGTTCCGTGTTGTCATTTTCCGCATTTAATCCCTTTGGTGTTCATGACATGAATCTGCTACAGGAAGCGAAGGGTTAGAGTCCACGAGGACGCACAACTCCTACTCTCTGGTCAGAGACTTCTTCGTTCTCAGAGAAGTCCATCAGGCGACCCTCGTTGCTTGTTCGCAGCGCGGCAAGTACTTTATCATCCTAGCTTGTCCAGAATCCTTCACGAAAACACGAAAAAAAATCCATATGTCCTTGGAGGGTCATTCTTTGTGGGGCCATCGAACGCAATGACCTATTAGTCCAGGAATGGTAACCAGCCTACCTGGGAAGTGAAAGCAGCTTGTATTGTAAGAAGGATGATTCCTTCGAAAACGCATACTTTATAAGAATGAAACTTTTTCAAAATTCCATCCCAGGGATAAATTGTTTTATGGACTATAGATGTTAAACTTAGAGTAAGTACACTTAATTCAACGCCTGCCCAACCAGAGTCGCTGGGCCTTGCTCGGGCGCTGCAGTCGGGCCCGCGGCCCATCCGGTGGCAGTTGAGCCCGTCGCTGGCGGCCCGCGAGAGTGCGGCCGGCCTGGCCTCGGGCCTGGCGGTGTTCGCCAACCTGTCCTGCGCGGCGGGGGCGGCCAGCGTGGCTGCAGTGCCGACGGTCCGCGCCGCCTGGCTCCTCTGGAGCGCAGACCCCGTGGCGGTCGACGCGCTGGAGAAGCTCAACCTCACCTTCAACGTGGACCTGACGCTTGCACACCAGGATGGGGAGACGGCCCACCTGCTGGACTTGCACAAGGTGCACGGTGCAGACAGTATCTGGCTTTTTTCAGGTCGATTTGCAGGACCTTCCTTAGAAAACCAGGAATCGGTTATGACGTGTGGGCCTGTCATCAATGAAAAATTATACCCGCTCATCACAAGCACGGCAATAGCAGTCGCAGGCATTGGCATTACATAGGCGACCTTTCCTTCGTACTGCGAGCCTTTCTTCGATCCATAATAAGAGTGTGAGGGTTGAGAACATATTTCCCGTTGTTTCGCCACGCCTTTTCAATCAAGTGCTTCCTTCCCCAAGGTGCAGCCCGGCGCCCCGCTCCTGCGCCGGCCCGCTGGCTGGTGGCGGCGGGACTGCGGCTTGACCATTCCACCGCTCCTGGAGGCAGGCCGTCCGCCGTCCGCTCGCTGGGACCTTCAGGGAAGCACGCTGCGCGCCGCCGTCGTGGTGATGAATCGTTCCGGCTGGCGTCACAAGCTGATTCGTCTGTCGTTGAAACCATTTTTCGTAGAGCGAAAAACGCCTGTCGTTAGCACAAAGCGAAGACGCCCGTCGCTGACAGTCATTAATGGGCACAGCAAAACGTGTACGGGGCATCGCTTCGTAATACGCTTTGAAGAGAAACGAAGTCAGTTACGAAATACTTGGGGAGGAAACATTTCGTACTATTAACAGTTTTCTTCATGTCATTCAGAAAAGTTTCTTATAGAGATACAAGCTGAATGAATGTGTCAGAAATGTGTCAACGTGTCAAAATTGACATTGTTACAAATGTTACGCGGTGGAACTGACGCCCTCCTTCTCCAGCTAGCCCACACCGAAGTCGACGACGGCCAGGACGCGCTGCGGCGGACGCTTGAAGACAACAGGAATATCAATTTAGACACCATGACCCACTTCGGGTATAGTCTAGGCCGCCCACTTGGCGGAGATGTACAACTTCACGTGGGTACCACATTAATTACACTGTAGGAAAATGGGCATTCGACAAAGGAGCCTTTAGGGGGACAAATTGTGGCCAAAGGCTCCTTTGTCAAATTTAAAGTCACGTAGATTTTCCGTAATTTGCACATATAATCGGACATACCCACAGAAGCAATCACGCAATGTGCATATCTGGGTATGTACTTAGCAAGTGTGCATTTCTGGGTAATTTTCTGCCAACTGTGTACTTTCTTAGTGTACATTTTTGAGTGTATTTTTCAAGTGTGAATTTCTGGGTGTGTTTGCAAGTGTGCATTTCTGGGCGTGCGGGAGGGTGGGGCAGTGTGTAATAAACACCCATATTTACGGACCGAGGGCTCCAAATGGCAATGTGAGTGTCAAAAATCTTTTAAGGACATCACTCATTTTCAATCGCCACGGTGCAGTTAAATGGTCTTAAGACGATAGAAGAATACAACATACGCCAATGCAACGGAACATTTATTGCATTTATAATGAAATAACTTTTTGACAGTGCTAACAATGCAATAAAAATGTTATTGCTTTTGAAATAGATTATCACTACGCTTGGAAAGAAAGTGCTTTTCTCCCGCCTGCAGGTACGAGATGGTGGTGACGCCGTCGTGGGGCTACAACGTCCAGGGCAATGGCGTGTTCGACGGCATGATTGGTCTGCTGCAGCGCGGGGAGGCCGACCTGGGAATCACGCCCGCCGTCATCAGCTTGCCGCGCCTCGACGCCGTGGACTACACCGTGCAGACCTGGAAGCTCCGGTGAGGCCGCGCGAAGAGCGATCGAGGGCGACAATTTCGGGGCATTCCCGAGACTTCTGCCCAACGCCAATGCCGAAAAAGATGAGGTTTGGGCTCGTTTTCACGCTAAAGCCCGTTTAAGACGAGAAAAACTTAAATTAGACCATCACACTTTGGCCTTCGTTGGCACATCTTTCTTAATTTAAGTTTTCTCTGCAGCCCCACTAGGAAGAACACCGATTATCTAAGTGCGACGGGATCTCTCAGGGGCGTGACGGACTTTATGATAATTTGCAAGCCTCCGTAACCTCCCCGTGCCAGTATCTGCACCACCCTAGAATTTCATGTTTCACTTCGAACATCAAATTTTACCCCGCGACCCCAACAAAGAAAATTTCGCGACCCACAGAGGGGTCCCGCCCGAACCCAGAGTGGGGAACCGCTGGCATGCCCCTCGCTCTCGCGGTACCAACGCGCTTTGTCCTGTTTCCGAGAACTGCTGTGCGAAGCTCGGGTGTCTCCCTGCGCAGGCTGTGCTTCATCTTTCGCCACCCGCGGCTGCTGGTGCCCTACGAGGCGCTGGGCGAGCCCTTCGACCTGTCCTCGTGGCTGGCGGTGGCCGCGGTGAGCGCCCTCACGGCGGTGCTGCTGGTGGCGGTGCGGCGCTGCGAGCAGGCCAGCACGCCCAGCTCCGGTGGCGGCGGACACGTCGCCGAGGCCGCGGTGGCGGTCGTCGGCATCCTCAGCCAGCAAGGTGCAGGCTGAAACCCTTAAAAGAATTTGGAGCCAAGGGGCACCCTGCGACCGCCATGTGTTGCAGGCAGCGTGCTGTGTAGCGACCTGGTGTCTGGTCGGTGCCTCCTCCTCGTGGGCATGCTGCTGGGCGTCATGGTGCAGAGCTTCTACACCTCGGCCATCGTCACCATCCTCCTCACGCCGATCCCCCGGACGATACACACGGTGCAAGACCTGATACGCAGCCCCCTCAAAGTGGGCCTGGAGGACTTCGTGTACACCAGGACCGTGTTCCCGGTACGCACGTCGAGGAGGCGTACGCGTACGCAAAGACCATTGACTCGACTCTTTAGTCTAGTACGCCCCGAAAGTATCGAGATATTAAAAAATGACCCAAAACAACCAAGATATTGGTTAAATTCTGGAAATTTTGGCAATGACACCACTATTACGCGAACTATTCCGGATGGAGATACCATGTGTCTCCTGCATGTATCCCCTCTTGCGTCGACACGAATTTTACGAAGGTTCTTCTAGCGCTTGCGAAGGTTTTTGGAAATAAACGAACGGCTTCGTGAATTATCAAAGGAATCGCTGGCAATTTTTTTTGCCGAGGGATCCGCCGTTATTTCCGAACATATATTTTTACAGTGTACAAACTACATTCATCCACAGTGTCCCGCTGAGGTTTCCTGTGTGACGTCGCTTAAGCTGGCCGTTCGTATTCCAGAACTCTAGCGACCCGCTGCTGTCCGCCATGTACAACGGCAAGGTGGTCCCCGCCTGGAGGAAGCGACCAAATGGCGGCTTCTTCTCCGTGGCGGAGGGCGTCAAGCGCATCCAGAGGGGCGGTTTCGCGTTCTGCTCGGAGGCCTCCACTCTTTACCCGGTCATCGACAGCACTTTCAGCGATGACGAAAAATGCAGCATTTCCGAAGTGGAGTTGGTGCTGGGCAACGGCAACGCAGCACCCATCCCCAAGGGGTCGCCCTTCAAAGAGCTCTTCAAACAGGGGTACATTCAAACAATTCCCCTCTCCCCTTTTTTTGTCACTTTCAGATCACTAGGTTTGGTATAGGACAGAGTTGAATGTGTTCTCTATTCGTGCCGAGCGGTTTTACTTTGCGACGCTTGGTTGAAGCGTAACAATGCCAACAAGTTCGTAAATTGAAAATTTTTCAGCATATCGGGTTTAAAAGAAAGCTCCTAGATCGCCTTGAAAGCGGACAGTTTCCTGCAGTTTACCGAAGTGCGCAGGGACAAAAGTACAGGTTAAAAAAGGTTGAAAAACCTTTTTCTCGAAGCCAGAGTCTATTTGTATTTATTACAACGAGGTAGGTGTACGCCAGACAGTGGCTTGTCGTAACAGGCTTCTCGATGCTGCGCCAGTTCCGACAATCCACGCCTGGCGTTAACACCTACCTTGGTCTGCGGCGCTGGCCTGCCTTGGCACACTCTCTCGCCACACATCGCTACACAGAGCGACCTGACCGCACATGTACTGTGTAAAGTAGTTCCCCACAAAGCGTGTTCGCCCTTTGACAAGACTGAACTCAACGGGCCAACAAAGCCCACCTGGGATGCTCTCCACCTGAATCCAGACACTGCCTCGTGCCGACAGCTACTTCCTGATGCTGGAGCGGGGCCTGCGCGATCGCAACAGCCGGCGATGGTCCGCGCCGAGACCGTCCTGCGAGAGCGGGGCGAGCGCCCTGACGGCCGTGGGGCTGGACCCCATCTTCCCCGCGCACGCCATCCTCCTCCTCGGCCTCGTCTCTGCACTGCTGTTGCTGCTGCACGAACGCCGCACCGCGGCGGTCCTGAAGGAGACCCCGACGGAAACACAACTACCTCTGACACCTCTCAGCCACGTCCCAGCCGAACGGAAAACGGAAAAGTTCCTTCCAACATCCCCCTTTCACGAATCCGAATTAGGAGCGTAATCAGCTTGATCCCTTCACCGTCTACTCACCAGTACATGGTGTACAGTCATCCAGGGCTGGATGTTCTATTACCAAGTGTCTGGAGGCCAAGTCAGTTCGAAACAATTAGGTGGCTCGTCCAGAGAAGCGCACTGCGAGGGCCCGCTCCGAAAATGGTATCAGATTCCTGGCGTTTGAGAGGCTGCCTCGAATTGGTTGGACACACTCGAGACGGCCACCGCAAATCTCACCCAAACCTGAGTCGGCGAGATACGATCTTGAGTGCCTATTGTGACAACAGCTGTAGCTGAATAAAGATTTACTTTACTTTTCTGTGCCACTCCGTGTCGGGCCGAACCCGCCCGGCGCAGGAGAAAGGCTTACTATGAGAGAAATAGCTGCATCAAAAAGCGAATGCTGTTCGAGCACAAACTGCCAGGGATCAGCTGTGCCAATATGCCACGCTCAGGGTGAAAGTGAAGGCTGTTTCCCCACTGGTATTCGTCAATACGAAAGGCACAGAACTAAACCCAAACGCCAATTTTCTTGGATTATTTTAAGGAAAAGTTTTGACCTTTCACAATAGAGTCTTATCGGATTTATAATTCTGCTGTTTGTGGCAAATTTCGTAAAATGAGCTAATAAAAATCATTTGAATTTCGAGTAAAAATAAACTTTTTTGTGCATCATTTAAGCTACGAATCATCGTTCTAATTGAACATTATTGTTTTGAATGCGAAAGTGGATGCACAAGCGGCGTTGTAATGAAAGATGGGTGCAAAATGGAGGAGAGTAAACAAATCTTACATCTTACGATAATGGTTACGATGTCGTCGGAGGCGGTACAGCAAGTGCGCGAGTGACTAAGTCAAGGTTTCTACCGGTAAGAATGCAGGCCTTTCTCCTGCTTAAAGCATTCTTTACTTTTCGCGCTGCATTATCTTGAGAGCCACGTTTACAAAGCTAAACCATTGGCGGAGGGTCTGAAAATTAAGGAAAAAGGTGTGTTACAGATATTTATTCCGAAACTTGATGTACGTGCTTCTGAAAATATGACATTCCTCAAACTGAGCCCAAGTAGGAAAAACCCAACCTGTATGCATGTCCGTGCGTTCAGCGACCCGAAAGCCCGCACGTGGATGCATGCGGTTCGCTTGGTGCATTCTTGCATAATGCTACGCATCCGACGCGTAGGAGGGTCCTCTTCCAGCCACGGCCCCTCGTACAGACGCGTCCCAAGGTTTCCACTGGCGTCTTCTAATGCTTGTCCTGTCACAGATGGATCAGTTCTGGTTAACTGTCCCGAGTAGGCCCCTGGTTAGCTGTCCCAGAGACATCCCCACCACCACCGGCCGGCGAGGGATTACCGGCTATCCCCGGTCCCGGGTCGGCCGGGCCTACCTGGCCGGCCTCTGGTTAGCTGTCCTCGGCGCCTCCCGGTTGTCGAGACAGCTAACCAGAGCTGACTGTAGAACTCGCGTCATCAGTTTCTACCAAGAGTTCTGCTCGTGCACCCCATTTGAGGTTTCAGTTGGCTGGACAGTCTAATGTACATTATTCGTGGACCGTCATGTGGAATCAGGCAGGGACACAGTCCACAAACGGTCCTGTTTGAAACGTTTTGGACGCCACGTTGCCGTCCAGATCCGGTCCGAGCGATCCACCAGGGAACCTTACACTCGGCTAACTCCCACACTTACCAATTGGCAGACCTCGTAAATTTATTTTTGGACAGGGGACAAAAAGTACCTCTTAATGACTTTTTCATCAGCAACCAGGTACTATAGCCTACAACAGTAATATTTAGTATTGCCTTCTTAAATGCAAATAATTTACTGCATAAAATTATGTAGGTATTTATCTTTGCCAATAAGTACATGTAGACAATAAGAACAAAAGTGAACAGTACATACTACTGTTGCACTAAGACAAGAGGCTTACCATCGACAAAATGTCAATACCATGTACTAAAAGTGAATAACGAGTCTCAGAGTGTAAGTTCAGCACCAAGTTTTCCAGAAAAATCTGAGATGGCGTCAAATGAGTTACTGCTTTGTTACGTTTTAACAGTATCATTGTTTTTGTGAAAGATAATGTTTTTGACTCACAATAGCCATGTAAACCAGGTTGGGTGAAAGTCTAAAATGTGCTGCCAGACGACCCGGACCCGCCCTTTTCGCGTGGAGTGCGTCACCTGTGAGGCACTGAGGGATGACAATGACGATGATGAGAATAGCTGTCGAGAAAGTGAAGGCGTCTGCACCCTGCGGCTTCAGGATGACTTCGACGGACGCTATGAGAGGAAGCATCATGGAGCAAGCAAGGATGTGGATGATGTAACCTTCCACAGCAGTTCGGGCCACGCGCGCGCCTCTCACCACATCCCCATGCAGTACTGCCAGCGTTCGCAGGGACTCGCGCCCTCGCTGCAGAAGATACACGCACAACCCTTGAGAATGTGCATGTGGTGTACTGTGCATGGTTTAGCAAGCTCAGATACATGCAAAACCTATGCGCAATAAAATGCATCATTGAGTCTGAATTATGCACGATGATGCAAACTATTGGACAGAGCTTACGTACGTATCCGTGCATGTATCCAATGGTGCAAGTAGAAATATGTTCCGCTCACTCTTGTATCCGTCCCGAATTACCATACTTGGCGAAATTCACTTGCGTGATAAGATAAGATTCTTTCGGGGGGAACGCCCAGATAAGATCTTTAGAATGGGACCCCTCGATGTGTTCATATGAAACCAGTTGCATTTTCCTCACAGTAAAAACTCTACGAAGAATCGCTTCGCAATACGAAGAAAATGAAGGCATTGTAAAATCTACGAAGAAATGCTTCGTATTATGAAGCAAAATCCTTTGTAATACGAAGCATTTCTTCATAATACAAAGCAATTCTACAATGCCTTCATTTTCTTTGTGGTTATGAAGCAAATGCTTCGTAGGCTTTTAAGAGTGCTTACAATAGTGCGGAAATTTCTAGAATGACTTTTACTAAATACTCCAGAATGAGGCGACTTTTGGGACTGTATCATATCAGGAGTCAATTTCAGGACTTCAATGGGACTTTCGTAAAATGAACAGACAAGGAGGATAACAAATTTTGTAAGGTCAGTGTAAGGCAAAGTTACGACACACTCTTTCTTCAGTGCAGTTTGCAATCCTGTTTTCAATCTACCACTTGGCAACATTCAGTGCCGATGGCGGTAAACAGGGCCGCGCAGGATCCGAACATGGCGTACGTCATCGGCAGCATCCAGTAGACGGCGTGAATCCCGCCGATCATCCCGAGAACCTAGGACACAACATACCCTTATTGTTCACGGAGGCAGTAGCGTCATGTGCACGTCTTTTGATGATTATGATTAGCCCAACGCTAATAATGTCAGACATTAAAAATGGCGACATGTTCATACCTCGAGGAGGCAGAGCACAAACGTATATGCAGCACCACATTCTCCGAGATGTTTGAACACGGCGGAGTGACTGTAGCCCATGACGAGGGTGAGCAGAGTGGATGGATAGATGAGGAGCCGAAACGCTTGGTGGAACCACGCTATTCGCTGCAGGCGCTGCGCTGTCTTCTTCAGATGAGCCTGAGGGTCCAGTCAAGTACGTGCTACTTTCCTAGCGTCCCGAATCTCAGTGTAGGCTTCAGGTGGCGTTGACAAGCGACCTTGGTGGCTGGGCTTCCGGCCAGTTCCAGGCGCGTTGCGACGGGCCCCAGCAGGCCGAGGCACTGCTCCACTTCCGCGTCGTGCAACACGAAGAACAGCAGTCCCCACATGGCGCCGTACACGCCCGCAATGTGGCGCAGGGTGTGGCGGCTCGCCATTTCGAGCTGAAGCAGAAGGTCTACGAAGCTTCTCAGAAGCCAAAGCAACGTGCACCCGGTCAAAAACTGAAAAGAACACCCTTGTTTAGTCGTTCTTGTCACCTGAGCGACGAAGAGGCCATTTCCAAAGGGTAAGAAAAGTTATCGATTTGACGACTTTTTGGCTGAGCGGTAGCGAAGCCCGTTACTCGGGTGGGGTTGGAAAACTTTTGTGTGTGTGTGTGTGTGTGCACTACTCCAACTGGACGGCTCGGCCGATCTGGCTGAGGTAGTAGGTGTATACGTCAGGCGTGGATTGTCGGAACTGGTGCAGCATCGCGCAGCCTGTTACGACAAGACACGGTCTGGCGTACACCTACCTTGTAGATTATAATCTACAAGTCGTCAAACTGTTCTTGAATGCATTTCAAAAGGAAAATTTAAAGACAGAATTCCGATCCCGGTACTCTGAGTGACATTCTCAGGTAATTCGGGTAATCCTGTGCTGACGATACGAATTCAAAGAGTCGTTGCCGCCACTGTGGCAAAACGGTACGGAAAATTCAGTAAATTTCTTTGCCAAGATTCTCCGTAGTCCTCCTTTCAATATTATTCGTAGGTTCTTACAGTATTCTGCGTAGGGCCGTACAGTATTCTGTGTAGGACCGTAAAGTCTTCTCCGCAGGACCTTAAAGTTTCCTAGAAGACTACGAAGAACACTGTACGGTCCTACGGAGAAGACTGTGCGGTCCTACGAAGAACACTGTACTACGGAAAATATTAACAAGAGAGCTACGGAGAATTACCAGAAATTTATAGAATTTCCCGTAGTTTTGCCACAATGACATCAAAGTATTTTTTCCATGAATGTAAAACTTCACACCTTGCTGCGCCTGATGTGGAAAGCCGCCATCTGCCAAACACTGCCCTTAGGTCCAGCGAGGTCTGTCTGCCAAGACTGCAGCAGGCTGCAGAGATGCCCGTTTCTACTACCCGGAACGTCTCCCGAGTGTTTTCCTCTCATCTTGAAGCTTTACCTCTGCAAAATTATGCTTCTCTTGTCCGGAAAGAATATTCGAAAATACGATTTCACGAAATACTAGGAGTAACAAAGGCAATCTTTGATCGTCCCGTGTATTTTTGTAAAAAACGTTAACGCTAACGTGAAAGCTCTCTGCTTCGAATCGGTATGTATATTGCCAGCAATTTTGACGGCAAATTTATCAAAACAGGGTACTTTCGTAGATCCCTGAACCGGAAGCACACAGACGCCATGTTGGCGGAAGTAGATCCAAACTTGACATGGGAAAGAGACGTTAGTCAAACGTATCGGCCACACTTGAACATAAACAGTCGTTTGATACTTGTTTGCAGTGCATATGTGTTTCAAGAGCAATATTTGTACAGCTCGGCTATAGTTTTAGATCCGAAGAGAGGTTAGTTTCCGGCCAATTTGGCGTCTGCTGGTCTGCTTGCTTCCGGTTCAGGATCTACGAAAGTACCCTATTCACAAGACACTTCTTAACCATAATTCAACATTAAAATCACCGTTCAAAGTACTTCCAATCCGCAATCCATCTCGGCTAGGCTAAATCGTAAGGCTACGTCGTGCCTAAAAACACTCTGCACGCATCCTTACGAAGTATTTTGAGCATATGAAAGGTACAAACTACTGTTTCTTAAAGTAAGAAAAAGGGGATGACTGAATGTTTTAGTCGCTTCGTCTAAAAACTAGTCGAAATGAGAAAAATAATGGTCATTTCGAGCAACATATAGGTCCTTTGACGAAAATCATCAGTCGAGTCAACAAAAGTTTAGTCTAAACAACCAAAATTTAGTGACCCCGGGAAACGACTGTACATTTCTCTCAGTGAGGATGAAATGAACCTGGGAGAGGGAACCTTGACGACGCCGCAGCCGCGATGAACACGTCGCCTGCACGGGGCGGGAACACAAATACAGAGCCGTGTCTCGTACGTGTCTGGCTGATGAATTAGTAATTGAGATTGATGTGACGTGCAAGAGGACGCATGGTGCAAGAGGAAGACTCGTCTTTTTCCGTCCAAAAGCAGAATGCTGATCGGATTTTCCCTAGACCCACCTGTTCTGGTCATCCCACTCTGGCCTAAAAAACTGCACCTACAGATCGGAAATGATGGCAATTCAGTTCAGCCTTCCACATCTACCATCGCAGGAAATTTATCGTTGAAAGTTTTGCAGTACAATATCAATTGCTTTTGACATGTGAAGTCTATTATGGGTTCCATGATTTTGTTTCATATCGAAACCCCCGCGTAGAGTTAGCTATCTGCGCCCGGCTAAAAAAATGAAGCCGCTATCTACGCGAGGCCGTTCCATACGCCGCTAACTAACTTTCCGTATTGGGGGGTTGACATCAACATAGCAAAATACTAACTAGCCATTCGGACAATGTTTCTGGGCCGCGGCAAAGTACCTTTGACAAACTTTTGTAACAAACAGGTAAAAGTTTGATAGCGATATCTTTATTAGTTCGAAAACTATAAAGAGACGGTGTCGCGTGGTGGGAAAAGCTGATAGCGGCTTTTACTTTGGTCGCGCGCAGATGGCGGCTTAAGAATCGTGCGCACGCAGATGTTGGCTTCTGAATTTGCCTCCCACAGGTAGCAGACTCTTCGAGGGTGTCGATTTCTTTTTAAATTTTTATTTATTCAGATTCCACTGCTGGCCAGGTTTCTTATGACATCAGTTTTGTTGAGCCCACCAAATTCAATCAGACTCGGGCCTCCACATCAGGAGCTACAGATGATGACATTATCGCAATCTAGTTTAGCCATCCACATCTACCTGCACAGGTAATTTCTTGTTGAAGATTTGCAGTACAATGTTCATTTATTTAAAAATGTAAGAACAAAAAGAAAGATTTTTTTAAAAGTTTATATTTATTTAGGTCCCACTGCTGGTAAGGCCCCAAGTGATCAATTTAGCTGAACCTTCCAAATTCAATCTGATTCAGATCTCGTCATCTGCAAAGCCGGAAATGATATGAGAGATGTAGGGATTAACTTAGTGCAGCCCTCCACATCAGCCAAAGCAGGTAATATTGTACCAACTATTGGACTGAATTACTTTTTAAAATGCACTCCCATAAGAGAGTATTGCCATCCTTATTACAAAGCTTTCTTTTCTTTTGAGGGTTTTCTGATACCAGATACTTTTGTTTTTCCAAGAACATTTGCTGTGACCCCTTTGACAAACAATATGCACCTGTTTCCACTGACCTTCGACTCCCATCTCTGGAACTACGAAAGCAAGCAATGACGAGTGAAGAAAACTTAGTTTTGTCAGGTGATGAATTCCTGTGTAGGTCATGTCGCAATAGGATTCAAAGCAGTGCAGTAAAAGATGATGATGATAACACTCCCACCAACTCTCAACACTCTTCAGCATCTGTGGATTCACCAACCATGTGTGTAAGGCAAAGGCTAAAACTTTCATCGGGACTACATCAGGGGCACCCAGTGATTAAAAATATTGTGAAAAAGGAAGAAAAATTAATAATGCCAAGAGGAAACTTGAAAATACAGACTTAGACATAAGAATCCAGAGTCAGCTGACTTTTGCGAAATTTTAATTGCAGTTCAAAATAAGATTTTATCCTTGCCATACGCAGATAAAATTCAACTGCTGACCATTGCTCCAACATCATAGTCATTGCCAGAGCGGAAAGTGAGCGAATTTCTCGAAGTGTCTCGGTATGCAGCGATGAAGGCCAAGACTCTACGTGTCTTTTCGAAACCACCGCATCCTCTTGGTCGCCCAATTCTTGAGAGCACTAAAAAGTTGGTGTTTGAATTTTACTGTGGTAATGATGTCAGTCGAGTGATGCCTGGGAAGAGAGACAGTGTAAGCATGGGACAGAGTGTGCATGAGCAGATTTGTGTATTTAGCGCCAAACTATTTGTACTCTGTTCACTTTTGTAGTTGATAGTGCAAATTGATTTTTTTTAAATTTCTGAAAATTGAAGTTTATTGCAGTAAATTATGGGGTGTCCAGTTTTTCCCCGCACTGACCCTTAGCGCATGTCTCTTGCTGTCCGTCCAGTAATGCCGGACCGGGTTCGATACTGACTTCCTTTGAGTGCAGGGCATACCCCAAAGCTTAAATGAGCGCCATTTGTCCTGGGCCTTAAGGCATCTGAAAGGAGAAGGGTCGAAAGAAAAGCGCGAAAAAACATTGGTTACGGCTATAAAGGGTCATGACTTGTACGACACTAATGATAGACATGTGCAGTCAGTTACTTACAAAATTGTTGGTTGCAAATGAATTGAAGGTTCTATCAAGGCTTTCATATCGGCTGAGAGTTCAATATTGAAATAGGGTCGGACTCTGAACGACTTAGGAAGAAATTTCACATACGAAGGAAACAGCAGAAGCAGAGTACGAAGGTGATTTTTCTTCGTGCTGCGAAGGTTTCTCTCCAAATCGTGCAAGGACAATGCTGGAAAGATTCGTTTTACGAAGAAACATTCATTCGCATTATGCTTGCGCCGGATCCACGGTAATATCACTAATATTCCAAAGGCTATGAATATAGCACAAATGGTGCAATGCACAGAGATAGCGCACTATACGTGCAATATCATAGCCTAGCTATATTGCACCGTTCGTGCAATGCGTCCCGAAAATGCCGTATGGTAATGCACGGAAATAACATTGCACCAATTGACACTAGCGTTTGGATTCTCAGTGATAGCTCAAATTTCGTTGAAAGACATTTAGAGTGCAAAAATACCGAAAACCAGCCGTAAATTGCCACGGAATAGTCTAATATGTATGGGAAAAAATCATTTATTCCCGGCGATATTTACCCTCGACGGCAGCCCTGCCACAGTGGCCTTCGTCACGACACTCACCGACACTACCACCACTACCAACCCGGCTCGGACACCCGCCATGAAGACTCAGCGGCATGAACACTGAGATCGCACCTTACGTGCAAAGCGTCCCGAAGATGCCCTATGCTAATGCAAAGGAGTGGGAAGGCATTGCACTTGATGTGCAATGCAAGAGCATTGCACCAACTGACGCTATATTCATAGCGCTTGGATTCTCATGGCACTTAATCAGTTTTTCTCCACTCATCGTGGCACCACCACATCGACTAGTGAAGCCCAAAATGATTTGTTCTAGTTTTAGTCCTCGAAAAATTTGTTACTAGATTGAATCCTCGCAGGGGTTCTGTTCCGACCAGTAGCTTTTCTAAGGAAGTGAAGTCGTGATTGTAAATTTGTCTAAGGAACACCCTGTGGTTTTGAGGAGAGTTGTCAAGTTGCTTGGTTACTGGTGTCCATTTTTGGTGTCGTGCTTTCGGATCACTTGATTTAAGTACAATTCATGAAATTTTTGTTTGCATAACGTGCTTTTGTTGTTGCTGCTACTCAATTGTATCGTCGGTGATCTCGGAACTGGCGCGCATCGCGAAGCGCTGCAACTTGAAGGCCAGATACGTCCACCTGTGAGCCTTGTGATAGTTACGAAGGGAGCAATGAAAATGTGTTAAGCAATTGTCAAAGTTAATTACTTTATGTAACCTGTGGACTTGAAATGCTGTATGTGCACTTGTGAGATTAGAGTGTATGTATGCTTCGAGAAGAAAATATCTTTTTTTCTGCTTTCATGGGAGAAACTTCATTGAAAAATGAAAATGTGTAAATATATTGTGAAATTGAGTAATCTGATGTAACGTGTGCATTTGAAATGCTGTGTGTGTGCTTGTGAGATTGAAGTATTGGTATGTTTCGAGAAGAAAATTTCTAAATTCTACGTTCATGAGAGAAACTTTGTTGACAACCAGATTTGAGGGCATGACATATTGATAGCCTGCAGACCCCCACCGCTGTAGAATTTCTGAGTGACTAAATAGAGCCGAGGAGAACGAAGCCTGTTGATCAATGTTCAATATTGATATATTTGTCCTATTTTTGTGAGATAATTCCACTTTCTGGTTAGCTATAAGATTTAATCTATGGGTCAATCGCACAAGCCTTCATTTTGGACGAGGAAGATCAGATGACCGTGCGAGCTACAGCACACCGGGGGACATGCGAAATGAAGAGTTGATGAGCGTTGGCTCTCATTTACGTGTCATGCTGACTGGAGAACAAGTTGTGGAGTGTTGGATTTACAAAAATCAATCTGAGGCACTTTGTAGGATTGTGTTGTCGATGTGGTTTAAAATGCTGTGTCAAGAGGAGAATAGTGGAGAAGATCTTTGACTGCTGGGGGAAAAGCAGAAGACTGAGTGGACTAACATTTTCACGACAACCCAGACGCTGCTGCCAGCTCCGGCGATGGTCCCTGAAGGAAAAGGGCTTTTACATCTCTGCCTAGCAACGCCTACACAGTTGAGCACAATACAGAAAAAAAATCTAGATGCAATGGGTGCAAGTCATGCTGTGAAGTCTGTGGGTCCATGGGGAAGAAATTGTAGACTCGATGGATGAACGCAAACCACGAAAGCAGTGCTGGCGGCGGCGGCATGGAAGTAAATGCAATAAAAGGTCTATTATTACGTTGCGTAACGTGGTGGGTTGAGGTTGTGGTCTCCTTCAAGCTGTAATTCCTTGGGTGACCGAGGGTGCCAGCGTGCTAAACAAGTTCAAAAAGGGGAGCACATCACAGAAAATAGGGTAAGAATAGGGTGCACATAAAACAATTTTGCGTTTCATTTACGCTGGGAAAGGGTGTGGGGGGTGTGGTCCAGCGTAACGCCTCGTCAGAATGAGAGGAGGGGGCACAATGTGTCCAAAACTATGCAACGTAATTCATGGACGAGCCGAGAAGGAGTAGACTATCAACCCTAAGAAGAAAACTGTGGTCACGAATACCCCATTGGCTGAGGGATAGCGAAGCCCGTCACCTTTTGGTTGTGTGTGTGTGTGGGTGTGGGTGGGTGAGTGTGAGTGAAAGAGATAGAGTGTCCCGGTCTACCACTCCAGAACGGCTTGACCAATTTTGCAGGGTCATTAGGTATGTCTTGGCACGGCACATCACAGCTTTCTATCTCAACCCATTCAGTCATAAAAACAACAAAAAAGCGATTAAAAAGGCGATTTTCCTGTGATTTCAGTTGTTGAAACCAAAGTTCTTTCGAGGGTGCTGAAGATGAAAGTGGAATCCATATTGACCTCCGGCCCCAAATTCGTATTCCAACGGGGCACACATTGATCAGAATTTTTATCCCGAAGTTTGCATCCCGTCTGACGTTCGGGGGTGTCATCCCAAAGATGCTTAGCAGTTTGACCAGCGAACCCTGTAACTGCATACTTCAAAAGGGGGGTCTCAAGCATAAATGCAAACAAAAATTCAAAATCTTTTTCGACTTACAATTCTTGTCGTTGACAAACTACATTTGTTGTTGATCAAGGACTTGTTTCTGAAGGTTGACTGTTATTGTGTTATAACTAGTTAGTTGTTGTGAAATTATTTTTTAGTTCCAATACGACTATAGTCAAGATATAAATTTAACAAGCTATTCGTTTCACAACAAGTCTTGTCGCCTTAAAATTAGCTATAAATGTGTCGCTAAGTTACAACATAATTTTTATCAGTGCATATGAAAGATCAAACTTTTTGCAACAATTTAAATTGTTCAAAGAAAAATATTTCGTTTTAGCATTAAATAAGGCATTTATATGAAGCACGTAAACAGGGTCTGCAAAATTATTATACATGTTGTCACTGTCCGCACGATTTCAGGCAAAGTTTTCAACTTTGCAATCGGCTAAAACAAAATATTTTTTTGAAATTGTTGTAAAAAGTTTGATCTTTCATATGATTACCGCCATTTGTCTCTGGCATTCATGCAAGTTTTTTTATGAGGTCCAAATACAAAGTTTAAAAAATTAAGAAACGTGCACAAAGGCTGAACAGCGTTCTGAAACAAGTTTAAGAGAAAAAATTAACCGTCAAACGTTTTGCGCGAGGTGACGGAGGCAAGATAAGGTTCAGGTCACCAATGCTGTCTGCATGTATCCCGGCTCACAGTGTAGTTGACTTGTGTCGCTAGTCAGTGTTCCGGCTCTGTCATCATGTCCAGTCTATTTTTGGCACGTCCCGTGTGTTTTTTTATGGTCCGTCCGTATGTATCATTCAGTACGGTCAAGTCGGGTATCAAGTAGTCAAATGGTTTTCAATTGACACCTGCGTCGAAGGCCCAAACCAAAAACTAGTAAAATTTTTCCAAGCCACCCCAGGCGGATCTTACTGGAAACCAAAGAGCTGCACTGCGCTTTAGTTCTGCTAGTCTGTAACTAACTTAATGCTGATCATGCCAATTTGGACGAGGTTAAGACCCTTGGGAGTGTCCGGAAGAAAACACACACGAGGAGAGGAGCCCTATTCTAGAGAAAGGGCTTAAAACTGTCCATAAATTAAACCGAAATGTCGAAAATCACACGAAAAATCTGCCACAAAAATGTACTGTTTCCTATTTTTCTTGTCTGATGTGGAAGCTTTTGGTTAAATTGAGGTGCAATTGTTAGCTCTTTCAGACACACTTTACCGATCAGAAAAAAGGTAAAAACTTTGGCTGACGCCTAATTTGTCAGGCCCATTTTTCGTGCCCCTTTTCTTTGATAAAAAAAACAAATAATCTTTGCCGAAATTGTTTGTAAAACGGTTGTTTTTAACAGGGTGTCCGCAGTTTTTTTCGTTCGTTCACGTCAATCATTTCATTGAGGACCAAACAGCAAGTTCCAGAGTCCGTCAAAAAACGTGCATGAAGTTCTACTGCCCCCTTCTTCGATGTCTTAAAGAGTAAAAAAGTGCTGGTTTGAGACAGATAAGAGTTAGTGACTTTAAGCCAAACGCATCACATGAAACCCCATCTAAAATTCAAAAAACAATCGAATCGAGAGCTCTAGCTTGCGCGAGGAAACAAAAGAAAAGGGGATAGCGGGGCAGTTTCACAACAGAAATTTGAAACACACTAAATGCTTGTGGACTTGATGTCCATAACTATGGCCGTATTTGTGCAAGCTGAAGTTATGCACTTGTACATAGATAAGGTGCAACGTTTAACATACTTAAGCACAATATGGAAATATTGTTCCTAATTTATGTACAAATTTGTACATAAGTTCTGTATGTACAAAAACGGCCATAGCTATGGACAATAAAGTACATAAAACACTTAGTGTGTACAGCGCCTTCTTGAAGCCCACTGTAAAAAAAATAACAATGGAAATTTTGTGCTGTGGGCAATGAATGAAGCGCCCAACCTAAACCTAATGTCCCCGGACTGCAAATTTCCTATTGCTGTGGGCAATGAAATTAGCGATTCTATGGAATAGCAATTTTCAGGCTGCTGTGGGATACAAAATTTCCTTACAATCTGCCAAATTTCTGCCAGTTTGCCAGTTTGGACAATGGAATGCTCCTTTCAGTGCCCACTGGGCCAGAAATGACACTTTCCTGCGGGGGCAAGTGAATTTACTTGCCCAATGGCCTAGGAAATCTCACGAATTTTTTCACAGTTAAGTGCACTTAACTGTGGCGTTCACGACCGGTATCAATCATTGGCAAATCAATGACAAGGTCGTGCAAATACAGGACTGTTCACTGACATGTGTTTCAGGAGCGCCGACTGAACCAAAACGGTTGCGTGTTACGAACTGCCCCAACCTCCCTCACCCATTTAGCAACGTTCCACCTCTGTCAAAACCGTTGTCGACCTTTCACGTCTATGTGCACGCAGCAATGTTCCGGTGACCGATGCGTGCGGTCCTGAGCGAGGGACTGGGCGATGCCAGCATGTCCTCTGGCTACCCGAGCCACCCTCCCCGACTGCACAATGCAAGAGCCATGTCGCGTGCAGTGACACGCGCCACGAGCCCACGCACGCCATAAAACATGCAGGCGTGGCGTGCGACGACAGTGCGAAGGGCCCAAGGGGTGGCACGGGGGCGGTCATGCTATGCGTGGCAGTGCGTGCCGAAGTCGCAGCAGGAGCGGCCGACTCAGTGTGTTGCACGGAGACAATCGCGAAGGTCGGAAGTGGAATCCGCCTCCACACTGAGAATGGAGCATGTCATTTTGTCATGAAGCTTGCCTTTCGCTCAGAAAAGTTCATGTCCTGTGTGCCTCATTTCCGTCCTGAACTGCACTCAGGCTGGTGCGTGCACAGGCTGCTGCCTCATCGACTTCCAGACGACACGCTACTCGGCCACGGCGCTGGACCTCTCCACGCTCATCCTGTGCTGCACGGAGAAGGTCATGCGCGACAAGCACTGGGACGCTCTGCTCAAGCACTACCACACCGTGCTGCAGGACACGCTGAGGGCTGCGGGCATCACGGACCCCGACTCAGTGTACTCGTGGGAACACTTCATGGTGAGTATCCATTGTTAAGGAGGCCTGGTTAAAAGTCTACGAAGCAGGGCTTCGTAATACAAGGTAGGTGTACGCCAGACCGTGTCTTGTCTGTCGTAACAAGCTACGCGATGCTGCGCCAGTTACGACTGCGGCGCATCCTGCTTGCCTTCGGCAAGCCGTCGCAGAAATTTACGTTGAATCAGCGAGTTGAGCACTCAGACATTTGTCTTGTAACTGGACGGGGCAAAGTTGCCGATGTGTACCGGTACTTTTCCTGTTAAATTTTACACATCCGTGTGCAAATATTTCTTAAATGAACGAGATTTTTTACAGCGTCTCTTGAGACTTGCCGTGATCTCTGACAGCGTTGTGAGGTCTCTAACTATCGAGAACCCCGTAGGCTTGGGACCCCAGGAGATTAATTTCAAAGGAGATCGATAAAACCGATCGTGGTTCCCGCTAAATATCCACCGGAATAGACCTTTTCCAGGTTAAGACCTGGCATTGCCAAACTGACTTGCAAGAAGGATACGATCATGCTCTGTTGGCAGCGGCGGCTAGGTGAGATGTCGGGCTACGCGCTGCTGCTGGCCCCCATGATGCTGCACTTCCTCAACGCCGACCAGGCTGAGGTGAAGGAGCTGCAGGGCTCCGTGACCAGCTTGATGAACGAGGACGACACGACGTCCCAGGCGGCGCCGGCCTCCTTCAACATCCAGTGGAGTGCCGAGGTGAAGCGGCGCGTGGGAGACATCGTCGACGACATGGTGCGCTGGGGGTGGATGTAGTCCCAGGGTGCGGTCGCCAGCGCGGGAAGGCCTGCATCCGAGCAGACGGTTCAGGCAGCGTGCTGACCAGACTTGTTCCGTACCTTTTCTGTATGTTTCTGTACTTTTCTTCTCCCAGTGACCAGCTGTCAAATGACAACACACTGCGAGTCACTTCATCGCCTACCCTCTCGTAAGTCTACGAAGCATGTGTTTAATTACGAATAATATCAAGGCATTGTAAAATTGGTTCGTAGTATGTAGGAAATGCTTTGATTTGCGAAGGATTTCTTCGTAGGTTTAACACTGTTAAGAAGGCCGTTTCAAGACGACACCTTTGTCAACCGCCTGGACAACACGTTTTCTTGATTAAATACGAAGAATTTGTTGCCTAATAATTTGCTGACAAATGCTGTCTTAAAAACACTTTTATTATTTAAAGCGAAATATGTGAAGATTTCAAGAATAAATAAAGTGGTCCTACTTTCATTTTTGGAAGGTCCTAGAGGTGATGCTTTGTCCACAAAATTTAATCAGATTTCTCGAACAATACGCTACTTCAGTGAAGAGCTTGAACGGAAGAAGAAAAGACATCAAGAAGAACGAGGTATGGGAAATTCGATAAGAATGAGTAATCTGCGTCGCCGTTCTGCCACTTCCATTGAGCTTTCAAATCCGGCTTCTGCTTTCTTCTTGATTCCCCCCGAACCTCCGTTTCATCTCTTCTCCGAAGTACCCCATCCGAATTGGGTCCACCTCGTGGTGGAACTCAAGTGACTATTGAGACTCTATGTCCGCGGACGCAGCCCCTGATTCCGGTTGAAGAACGCGGCTTGTTGTGCAGGAACAGAGTGTTCGCTCTGTAGCGGCCGTACGGTAGGAGCGGGAAGTGGCGCAGTGGAAGGAGCTCGGCCGACGTGCTGCCACCCTTGTAGGTGCCCTGCGCAGACGCGACGGAACGTTGCACAGAAAACTTTTGTGGAAGAGATAAAAAGTCAACAGAGGTACACCATGGCTAGGCTAAATTCACCCCGATCAGGAACCCGGCGTGGTGGATCCTCGGCATTCGAATCATAGGCGAAGTTGTGTCCCTGGGTACCATAAACACTGGCGGATGTTATCTTTCCTTTACTCCCAAACTACCCGCATTGTATCGGCCAGGATGCTGGAGAAAATCGATTTTTAGCCTGGATTTCCGGTACTGTTACGCGTTAGGGCTCCAATAACCAGTAGAAAGTATTTTTTTAAAATCAGAATGTGCCAGTTGAGTCCAAAATAGAATGTGCCATTTTCCCCCGCTCCTTCAGTGCTCGGTTCTTTCGCGCCCTCACCCTATACACTGACGCCGCGGCGGTCAGCTGTGGCATGGACTCCCAAGAATACTTGCATCCCAGGGCAACTATCTACCGCACTCTACACGTCTTATCGAGAAATAAACCATAATACGAAGGAAATGCCCCAAGCATTATACGAAGGTGGTTTTTCTATGTTACGAAGGGTTTTCTTTAAACATTACGATGAAAAAGCTAAAAAGATTCGTATTACGAAGAAATATTGCTTCGTATTATGCTTGCACCGAATTCACTGTAACATAGGTCAGATCCATTTAGAGTGCAGACGTGGACGGAAGCGTTTGTTTGGTCAGGGTGTCGTCATCCTTTACCGGAATGGCCGATTCTGACTCACATCAGGGATGGGGCACTTGGCGGGAAGCTCGCCGTCGGCGGATATGGCTTGGACGATGTCGGGCACAATCTCGTCGAACACGAAGCAGAGCTCTGCCATGAGTTCGCATACAGCTTGAGATACAAGGTAAGTGTACGCCAGACCGTGGCCTGTCGCGACAGGCTTCGCGATGCTGCGCCAGTTCCGTGGAATACGGCTTCTCCCTCTTGTCTGGTGGTAATGTCTTGATCTTCTCAAACAAACGATCGGGGAACAGCACGTACCGCAAGTCATGTCTCTAGGGATAACAGAAGCAGGTGACGTGTTGTCCGATGCCCTTTTGACCATATTTTCGTACGCACGCTTGAAGGCGCTCGTGAGCTACCAAATGTGCTATGACGAAACCCAAAATGCTGCGCATCGAAAGGAGCTTCAGTTGGATAGAGCAGAGCACGGAGAAGCGTGGTACGACTAGAGCATTCTAGTCGTCGCCGATCGAAGAACAAGGTCAAAACCGGAAGTATTTGGATGATAATACTTTCTAGGTATAGGAAGCCAATAATCCCCTCACCACCCAAATCTGGATCAGAAAACTTTCCTCGCCCAAATTTGGGTGATGAAATTATTCACACCCAAATTTCGGAGATGAATTATACCGAGCTCAAAATTGGATATCGATCAACACTCTTTCATTCTCAGTGAACCCAGTGTTCTGCTGATAAATTTTGCCCGGACATATTATGTTTAGGAAAGAAACATTTTTTTAACATTCAGCTTCAATCTCATTTAATTTCAAAAAATTTCTCCAATTACCAGTACAATTATTGAACAGTGACGCAAAACTCATTCTGCGACTCGTTGAAGCCGTCAGCGCCGAGCTGAGCGCCACCAGGTCTGAGGCGCAGCCCGGCCTGGCCCCATCGCAGAGGCATTGACCAGTGTGACCCGGGCAGTGCGTCTGTGATACCCAGGCCTCTGGCTGTTCACACGCACACGTTGTTTTGGAGCGGCCATCTTATAGAAGTTCGCTCCGGCGGCCGTTATGTTAACTAGGACCATGAAGGTTTCTCAGGGCTTCTGGACACCAAATACTTATCTCCAAGCAGGTCGTACACAACCGTACGCAACGCAGAGCCTAAGTCCGAAAATTTACACGAGGAGCCTCACTCTTTCTTCGCGACTGCACGTGTTCAGTTTCCCGAGAAAATGCACTCGCGTGACTTCACGCCGTTTCGTGGCCACGACTGAAGTATCGCGCCAATGAACGGCATACGGGGGAACACCGGCGTGGCTCACGCCGATTCTTTGCAGGAATTTTTCCAACCATCGCAGTGTGAGCACCGATCCACTTGAAAAAGCTGCACCAAATGACGGCCTGACTCTGCAGTCACGGCGATTAGTTGGCGTGACTAAGGCCATGCCATAAATGGCCATGTGTCCTGCTACCACGCTATGTGCAGTATTCTGCGAAAGTAACCCGTCTGTCCGCTTACAGATGCTATGTCGTACTAGCCTCAGCCATACCAACAAAGACATCTGCCAGACGAACCACTGTATACTCACGTGTAGGCGGCGGTGCTATCATGCTCGGAAAACTTATTTGAGCGTGACGATAATTCTGAAAAGTCATCATGAGTTGCTTTGTCACGCGGCTCTGGTGGCCAGGAATGGGGCTTCTTAAAAAACGTCGCCCTCGCGGTGTCGTGGTGCAGAAGCATTTCCAACTCTCTCAGCATGGCAGGTATGGTTATCGTTGATCGGCGAAGGACGCAACCCCAAATGGTGTTGTTTGGATTGAAATCCTACCACGGGAGTCGGGGGGTCATGTGCTAGCCGGAAAGCCCAGGGCCGGAAAGCGCAGGGCCGAAAGGCCCACCTCGGCCTGAGGTCCCGTAGAAAGTCCTTCCAAGAACTTTTTTCTACACTCCCAATCAAAGTGTAGTGCAAGTACACACTTCCAGGCGTAGATCAAAATGTCCTTCACTTTCAAGTGAGGATCAGTCGTGTCCTACGCTTGCAAGTGTGGACTCCGTGTAGGACGCATCTTGTTCACGACCCATACCCGTTGGTTGGTCATACTTAAGAGTGAGCCACAGCGTGGTCGACACTTCCAAGCATAGGTCAAGAGTGGTCGACACTAACATGTGTTGGACATTATGGCCCACGCTTGCAAGCGTGTACTTGTCCTTCACTTATCGATGCGTTCTGTTCAAAAGATGTTATCTGGGCGTTCCCTCAAGATAATCTTATCTTAAACGCAGGCGAATTTCACTCAGTTAGATCATTTGATACAGCTACAAATCAATATAATTTGCGATTTAATTCACTTAAATCTAAAGATGAAAGATCGAAGAAATCAAAAGTGCATGTAGAAATTATTCTGCTTACTGTAGTATCCGTCCCAAATGGTTTAACTGGGTGAAATTCGCCTGCGTTTAAGATTCTCTTGGGGGGAACGCCCAGATAAGATCTTTTGAATAGGGCCCCTTGTTATATTAGCAGTGTAGGATCACGTTAATCGACACTTGGTCCCATGAAGTCTGCTGCGTGAAACGTCGTGTTAAACGGATGAGAGTAAAATGTCAAAATCACCCAGACTACGATTACATGTGCCGCACTCTGTCTTGCAGACCAATGCGTTGCTGTGGCGTCGTTTTTGGCGCTGTTAGTGTCGAGTGCTCGAGAGACACCCCCTCCAACGTCCAACGTCGTCCCAACGGAGGTGGACTTCATCGTCGTGGGTGCCGGGTCCGGCGGCAGTGTGGTGGCCAGTCGCCTGTCTGAAGTCCCTCAATGGAATGTATGTATCCAACAATGAGGGTAACGTCGTGTCGCATTTGGGTATAACGAACAGTGTGCACAGCCATTACACGTTTGCAATTAACGTGAGGGGTCGTCAGCTCATATATTTCTTCGTACACAAGCTGCATGGTTGAAGTATGCCTTCAAGTACACTCCACCTGGAGCCGACCTGGCATGAACACGCCAAGCTGGAGTATGCTTGCCAAGAACACGCCAAGTGGCGCATGCCTGCAAGTACACTGTTGCTCTGCTTTACATGTCAATGCAAAAGGTAGGGGACTTCAGGAACTGTGTACCTGCAGGTACGCGCCATCTGGTGCTCCACAAACTTGGGTTTGTCGAGTAGCTTAGGGTAACCGGGTAAACCCACACTTGTTCGCGAAAACATCAACCCTTAAGGATATATATTCCAATGAAGCAATTAAAAAGAAAATATTGATGTTTTCCTGCCTGTTTGCAGGTTCTTCTCCTTGAGGCGGGGCCGGAGCAAGATGAAACGACATACGTGGCCACTATGTACGGCTACACTTTCTCCAACCCGGAGTATGACTGGCAACTCAAAGTTCAAGACACTCCCAACGACCACACAGGAGTAATTCCGAGGTAATCTCGGTCTGAGTGCGTGATTAAATGCCTTTTCTTGCGTCAGAGGAATATTTACTGGCTGTTGCAGACATCTTTTTGACTGGCGCTATTTCATTTGTGAAATAAGTTATTGCAACTAATTCTTAGCTACCACAACTTATCCATTTTTGTCCGTGTTGTTGTCATTGTCACTAGCCCGAAACTCGGCAAAATTATGTTGCAGTTTCAATAGCACTTGCACTTCCAATATAGACTCAAGAACATTTTCAAGGCCAGTGTGTCAATGCATGCGACTTTCTCATCAGGGCCAGGATGCTCGGTGGCTGCAGTTCCCACAACGGCGTCAA